CAAATACAAACTAACCTGAAATGCCCACCAACAGGAGAGTGGGTCAGTAAATCGTGGTATAGTATATAATGTAATACTATATGTAAATAAACAACATGAGTCTCGGCCAGTTTAGCTCAGCAGTTAGAGCGTTGGCCCACGGACCAAAGAGTGGCAGGTTCGATTCCAGTCAAGGGCACGTACCTTGGTTGTGGTTCGTCCCCGGCTCTGGTCGGGGTCATGCAGGCGGCAACCAGTCGATGTAACCCTCTCACATGGATGTTTCTCTCCCTCCCTCCCTCCCACTGAAGATAAATAGAAAAATATCCCAGGTGAGGATTAAAAAAAAAATTAAATGACATAAAGCGGATCGCATCATCATGGACGACTGGGAAGTAATACTGCACGAGGAAAGCAGGGTCTGGAAGCACACGTACTCTGCAGTGCCACTCATACCCCATCCTAAAGCAGGCAGCACGCTGTCCCTCAGTGCAGTGCTACATACTGGCTAGTGACACATCCGTATGTAATAAAAGCACGAAAAGTACATGGCGTTGACAAAGTTGAGTAGTGATTTCCTTCTGGTGGGGAGGAAGGAGCTTGTGAAATGAGTACAGAAGGATCGACTGAATTCATAAGTACATGGGTGGTTGGTATTTTATCCTTAAACTTGGCGTATGTTGTCATAATTTTTAAAGAGACAAAGGGAGGGCCGTAAGGACTCTGGTAAGGGAAGCGGTGTTCTGGTACGAGTTTGACAGTAGGCTGTGGGGAGGGGAGTGTTCGTGGTCTTCACCTATTTCTGTGGCATCAGTACTCCGGCTACGGCTGATTTGGGACTGCCAACCTAACGCCAGCTGGCTGAACTGAAGTTCAGAAGAGAATTCCTGAGAGTCACAGCGCTCCAGAGCCAGCCTGAGCCGGCCGCAGCTCGCCACCCACTGAAGTGGTAGGGAGGTGCTCTGAAGGCCAGAGCCAGGCGTCCACGCCCTCCCTGAGGGCTTTTCCAACAGCCTCGGAGGGTTGAGGGTTGGACTGCCTTCATTTATTGCTGGTACGTTAGTCCCAAACTAAGCAGGTTAAAACAACAATCAGTGTTTGTTACCTGACACAGTTTCTGAGTCAGGAATCCAAGAATGACTTAGCTGGGTGGCTCTGGCCTAGGATCTCGGCCAGAGACGCAGTCACGCTGTCAGCCAGAGCTGTGGTCACTGGACGCTCAGCCTGGAACTGGAGGATTTGCTTCTCAGCTCACTCCAGTGACTGCCAGCCAAGGTCTCGCTCAGTCCCTCCTCCTGTGGACTTCTCCATAGGACTGCTGGCTTTAGCTCAAGACATAGCAGCTGGCTTTCTCCCCAGCAGATGACGAGAGACAGAGACATGCAGTGGCCCTCTGCAGATCCTGTGGCTCGCACACACCACCCCTGCCCGTGTGGGAGGGGATGGCTAGGCTGGGGCTGTCTTGGAGGTTGGCTCCCACACAGCACAGTCAGGGGTGAGCGCCGGATGCCCTGAGGTGCTGTAAACGGGTAGGAGGGTGCCTAGAGTCTCGCACAAGAACGGAACCTGAGAGGCCAACCCTCTGTTTGCAGCCGAGGACACAGAGAAAGAAGTTCAGGGACTAACTGGAGAGGGTTTGTCTTCCCCTGGTGCTGGAGAGAAGGACCGCGCTCCACCTCTCCGGGCCCTCTCCTCCCAGCCTTTCCTCTGCAGGTGCAGGTGCTGGGGCCTGGCACAGCAAGGCCTGGACCAAGGTCACCTTGCCCAAGCCCGAAAAAGTTCCTTCTTCCCTCACATTCACATCCCTCCCTCAGTCAAAACAAGACAACCCGCTCCACCCCTCCATGGGTGGTTGGGAACATGTCCCCAGCAGCCCCACAGAGCAGCATGCGCCACCATGTCACAAGCCAGGCGTCCTCCTGGCCTCTGGGGCCCCACTGCTGTCCAGGGTCCGGTGTGGAATGGTTTCAGAGCTCTGTGATCCAAGTGAAACAGAGCACTGCCCCAAACCGGAAGGGGCACGGGGCAGGCGTGTGCCACGCTCTGTTTACACGGTTGTTCATTCTATGAAAACTCGTCCAATTGCACACTTGCGACCTGTAAAATTGTCTACGTGAATATTGCACTTAAAAGCTTTTTTGAATAGTCCCAAAGTTGGGGACTTAAGTGTCTGGGAAGATTCCAGGCAGACGAGGACTCTTTCTGAGCAACTGCCCACCTCTGTCCTCCAGGTACCCCAGGGGAGCTGAGGGGCAGCTCCATTCAGGCGGAATCCTGGGGTGGAAGGTTTGAAAGGGGCTAAAATTGGAGGGTCCTTGGCACCAGGATAAGAAGTGACTAGTGGGACTTTCAGGGGGTGTGGATACCCCCAGCCCTGCTCACCCTGCACAGCACTGTTCCAGGCCCAGCTACAAGGCCTTGGAGACTCCAAAGCACAGTCTGCACTAAGGGGGCCACAAAGACAGGGTTTCCCAATGGTCAGGATGAAACAGTGCAGCCCTAAGTGCTCACTCTTGGTGGCCAGGCCCGCGGGATGGGGACAGGGAGAGAGGAGGGGTCGGGCCAGCACCACCAACTGGACGGGCAGGAAGGTGCACCTGGCTTCTCCGGCTTTGGGCATGCCCCACTTTACCCAGTTCGTCCTCCACACTTCCTCCTGGGCATCACCCTTCCCGGCACCATCTGCCATCTTCCTCTTGACCCTGGAAGACAAAACTGACCAGGCTCTGTCAGCACAACTCCTGGCACACACTGGCTGCTCAGTGATGCTGGATGAGGAAGGAGGGACCTAAAGCAGGCTTTTCTCCACCCCCATGTCATGTGGCGCTCTAGTATAAATGGGGTGACTAAACAGGGACACAACTGTGGCTGGGGAGTCAGGGAAGTAATTGATGGTGAGGATCCTGGCTGTCCACAGGCCAAGCCTCCCGGTGGGTCAGAATCTCCCTGTTTCCCTTTCCTTGTCCAGTCAGGCTGGCGAAGTCCTGTCACACACACATCCATCCCTCTGATCTGCAGGCTATGCTGGAGGTGACCCTCAAGATGCCCAGTACAAGGTGCTGACTAGCACAGAGGTGGGATGGGGGTTCCACTCTGGGCACAGCTAACCCCACCCCTGGGCTCCTTCTAGCCTCCTTGCTGTCCCTAGATGGATCTGTTCCCCAGCCACCGCACCTAGCCAGTTGCTATGGAAACTGAAGCCATTTCTCTTACCCGTTTGCCAGGCACCACCATGAAGCTGTCCTGGACTGGGCTCCTGTCCCCAGCCCCTCACCGAGTTCATTGTCCTCTGACTTGCCCGGGCCTGCGGTCAGGCTCAGACCACACTCAGACCTCCTGGGGCCACATTAATGCTCTACCCCACCCTTGCTTGGGGCTCTTGCTGCCTCTGTGCCTGTTCCTGTGCAGCCATCCACTTCCACCCCCCCAAACCCTGCTTGTGCAGTTGTGTTCCTTAGACAATCGCCGCCACCTTCTCTCTCACGCACAGGTGGTGCTGATTCACAGACAGACGTGGGGTCCACTGTGCAGGAGCCCGGCGGCGGATCAGTTCTGTCTCGGGATCTGCAGTGACAACAGTGACCCCAGGGAGGCTCTTGGGCCCCCAGGCCCTCAAGGAGCAATGGTGCCAGCTGCTCCCTAGTGCCACGGAGCCCAGCAACTCCCCGGAGCCAGAGGCAGGGTGTCCCCTGGCACTGCTTTCACACCTGCCTCACCCTGTCTCTCCCCTGAACACACTTGCTCCGGGCTGTGGCCAAAGAACGAGAGACCTGGTCGTGGAGGGTCAGAGATGGGGGCCCCACATCTCCAACTATCACTGAGTATGTTCCTTGTAACCCAGTCCATGAGGATGTCCTGGGGCAACAGCATTCCAAGATCCAAGCCTAGTGGGGTAACACTGAGCTCTAACCCCTCTTGGGGAAGGGGGTGTCACAGTGCACATTAGCATAGTAAAGGCTCTGAGAAGGCCTGTGGGAAATACATTTATTTAAATCCATGATTCCTAAACTTATTTGATCACAGATTTTTTTTTTAAAGAACGCATGTCCTGGCCAGTTTGGCTCGGTGGTTAGAGCATTGGCCCGTAGACCAAAGAGTCAGGGGTTCGATTCTGGTCAAGGCCACGTACCTCGGTAGCAATTCGATCTCTGGCCCTGGTTGGGGTTGTGCGGGAGGCAACCAATCAGTGTGTCTTTATCACACTGATGTTTCTCTCTCTCTCTCCCTCCCTCCCACTCTATCTGAACAAAAAACAAAAAAAGGAAAAATGTCCTCAGGTGAAAATAAAAAAAAATCACCACGAAAGGCATCCGCCAGGGCCCTGCCCTCACTGCCACCCCCAGAGGGCGGCCCCCAGTGTGGAGGGCTCTGCACTGTCCCTACTGGGTGTCCATGGGCAGCAGGGTCAGTGGCTGGGACCCTGTTAGAAGTGCTGGGCCGCAGATCCCACCCCGGCCTCCTGCCGCATCTGCAGGTTAACACCATCCCCAGGGGGCCAATGCACAAGTGTGAAAAGCCCTACACCTGCCATTCTTCCCCCTCGACGACGACGGCTAGTTGGGTTACTGGGTCACCTCCCCAGCCAAGTCGGGGCTCTAGGCCCGGTATCCAGATGCAGTTGGCATATTTTGAGCCTCACAGCTGATTGGGGAATTCCCCGCATTATGAATCCTCCTTCCCAAGGGCCCATGAAGGGAACCAAGAGGGATGCCAGCCATCAAAGAGACCTCGCTTTTGCAGAGGCTGACAGAAAGGATCAGGGAGTTCTCCCAGCTTAGCCTTTCATCCCTGCTCAGATGTCTCCTCCACAGAGACGCCTGGAGACTCGGAGACGGTCATCTTGGGTGGGGGGCACCAACCAGGGTCACCTCTGAGAGTCACAGCCTCCCTAGCAGGTCAGCGGTGGTCATTCACAAGGGTCTAACACAGAACCCTTAGCGACCCTCCCCCAGCCCCTTAGAACCCAGAAGAAAGGAAAGGTGAGCCAGCATCTAGGGAGAAGATATTTATTGAGAACTTGCTACATAAAGAGCTATAGAGAGCTGGGGACCAGGGAGCAGTGCTGTCTCCCCCTGCACACTGAAGTCACCGAGGAGCCCACAGGGAGGCCCTGGGAGGGACCTGGTGACGACGGAGGGAGGGAGGAGCCCTGCGTGCTGTCTGGCATGAGGAATCCTCGAGGGGGGTCTCTAATAGCCCAGACGTCATGAGGGAGGAACAAGGGGGGGGTCAAAGAAGTCAGAGCACTTGGGAGTCACTGGGTCAGAGCCTGTACCACATCCTTCACCAGCATGGTGCCGATCACCATCTTTTCGCTGTTGACTGTCAGCTGGGCAGGTCCAGTGGGCCGCGCATCCAGGGTCAGCAGGACCAAGCTCCCACTGGTCAGGGTCCTCCCTGCAAACCTGAGGTGGACATTTACCCTCCGGTCATCACCAGGTTCCCTCCCAGACCCTCCCCGTGGGCTCCTCAGTGACTTTCGTGTGCAGAGGGAGACAGCAGCTGCTCCCTAACCCTAGCTCCCCAGCTTTCTAGGGGCCCTCCTTCAAACCAGGCCCAACAGCCCATCTCTTCTCCTCTGTGAGGGCCCAGTACCTGTACTCATCAGGCGTCCCACAAGGGACACGACCCAGGTTGGCAGTGGCGGTCACTTTCTGCACCACAGTGTGGTCACTCCGGCTGGTGTCGGGCAGCGTGAGCTTCTCTGTGATCTCATTCATGCCCGTCAGCTTTCCTGGGGGCGGACCAGGATGAGGGCAGAGGCCGTGGTGGGTTCACCTGGGTCTGCCCATGGAGCTTCCTCACCAAGTTCTCCGGCTGGGCAGGTCTGCATCTCCCTCAGCCGTCTTGGGGACGGGGTACATCCCTTTCGGGCCTGGCTCTCCCTCAGGAAGCCTTTGTCGGTCTTCCCAACCAACCAAGGGCTCCATCCATGTTACTGACCAAAGACTTTGTGGCCAGTCACTTCTTAGAGGTTTCCCCCACCCTGGACCCCACACCCTCTAGTTTTTCCCGGTTGGCTCCCAACCAATTCAAATCCCTCCCAGCTCCTGAGACGAGTCCTCGAGGGCTGGTGGCCGCTGCCTCCTGGCCAAGGCCTGGTCCTCGTCAGACAGGCAAGAGCCCAGGAGGCCACGCAGCCTCACAGGTGGGCCCTACCTTCACCCGGGGCAGCAGCTCCGGGCTCGGCCAGCTCTCACGTGCCCCAGGAACACCCACTGCAGCCCTGTGGGCTCCTCGTCTGCCCTCCCCCCACCCTCTCCCAGCCTCTCTCCTCCCTCTGAGAACTGGCCCCTCCCAGCTGCTCCCACCCCTCCATTCCTGATGAGCGATGTTTCCTTGCCCCTGTACTTTTACTCCATGTCTGTCTCCTTGCTCCTGAGAGGGCCTCTCCAGAAGCAAGACTGCTGTGTCTCCCTCCCCGTTCACCACCCAAGTCCTCCGCAGAGTGCTCCCTTCCCCAGCGGGCCCCTTCGACCCACTGCAGGTGGCTCAGCTCCCTTTCGCGGTGACCTGCTCTCTCATGCTAGCAGCAGCCTCCTATCTGCTGGCTCTGAAGTCTCACCCTCCGGGCCTGCAGACCCCAAGGCCCTGGCTCTCCCCCAACTTCTTGCTCTGTGCCTTCTCTTACCACCACCCCCTTTCTCCTGAAGGAAGGTCCTGGCTGTCATCTCCCCAGCTGCCTCCCAGGGTGACCTCACTACATTCACAGCTTCAGTTATCACCTCTGTGCGCATGACGCCAGCCTAGAAGTGTCTCCCGGGCACAGGCCCACATTCTCAGTTGCACACTCAACACTTCCTCCTCATTTTCCCAAACGCCCTGCAAAACCAGCTTATCCAAACCCACCATGATCCCCCCCCACTGCCTAAACCCATCTTCCTACCAGATCAGGACTTTGGCAGATTACAGCCTGCAGGCCAAATCCAGCCCACCACCAGGTGGCCGGAAATGTTGTTTATATTTTTAAATGTTGGGGGATCAAAAGATTAATAGCTCACGACACATGAAGATCATATGAAATTCCAATTAAAGTGTCCATAAATAGATTTTACATGCACACAGCCACACCTGTTTGTTTACGTGTTATCTGTGGCTGGCGGTTACAACGGCAGGGTTGACTGACTGCAGCGGAGGCCCACAAAGCCTAAAATACTGGCCTTGTGGCACATGACAGAAAAAGCATGCTGACCCCTGGTCTGGGTGAAGGGCAGTCGTTCTCCCTACTATCCGAGTCTGAAATTCTAGGACAGCTTCTCTGCCTCTCTCCTCCTCCTCAGGAGACATGCCTGTGGCTTTCCTCTTCCCAAGGCCACCCCTGCCCAGACCCTCGCCGCCTTTGTCACGACCGTAATCCTGGGCCTCACCAGCTCTCAGCAAACCTGTTGCATCAGCTGTACAGCTGGCCGCAGAATTCGGCCGCAGCCTCACACAAGGTGAATGCAGGTTCAGAACCCAAGCCGGGCTCATGCAGCCCCAGGCTTCCCCCAGGAGGCCGTCCTGCTGCTGCTGCTGCTGCAGGTTCTGTTCGTCCTCGCTGTGAATGCTGCCAGGTCCTCTCGGTGAAGCAGAGGTCTGGACCCGGCCCTGTCCTCACTCACACACTGTCACTGACTCCTCCACTGCCGGGACAGCGGACCTCAGGCCCTCCTCCCTCTGACAACGGCGGCGGCCCCTCCAGCTCTGAAAGTCTAGGGCTGAAACCCTTTAGCACGGCATTCGAGGCTTCCAGAAACCAGACGTGTTTTCAGCTTTGTTCTCACTACTCCCCTATGTTAGGGACTCCTGTGTCCCAAACCAAACTGCTCCCTCTCTTCTTCCTGTCACCTCTCACCAACACTCACTGGTGGCGCTGAACTCCCGGCCGGGCCGAGTCCCAGCTCGCCACAGCCGCACCGAGGTGCGCGGCCTCTGCAAAGCCTTTGCTGGAGCCCGAGCTGCGAGGCCTCCCCGTCTGAGGGTCCTTCAGCATGGCTGTGCTGGAGCTTACTGAGCCCCTCCCTGCCCACCCCACGGAGCACTCACCCTGCTCCTTCTTGAACTCATTCTCACTCATGAACACAGGGGCCATCAGCTCCCCAACAGGTGGCTGAATGGAGACGTAGAACTGTCGAGTCTGGGTGCTGGGATGGGGGAGAAGACAGAGGAACAGAGAGTGAGGCCCCATCTCTCCCCTCACCTCCCACTTTGTCTAGATACAGGGTTTGGAGGCAGGAGGAGAGTGAGGTAAGAGGGCTTGGGGTGGCTTCCAGACCCTCCACATCATGATGTCCCCCGTCCACCACCACCTCCAGCTCCTCTTCGTTGTGACCCCACCTCTCTCCAGCCCACCCTCCCACCCCGCCCGGGATGGACACACACCACAGCTGGAAGTTGGCCGCCTGGGTCGAGTCACAGAAATCAATGCCCATGATAGCAGTGGCAGACTCTCCGGGTGCCAAGGACTCTTCAGTGGGGTGAGACAGGGAGGGGGAGGGAGAGACACCATCACCCGACAGGGCCGAGTCCCAGACTCATTCTCCCCTCCAATGCCAGAGCTGACCAGTGCCAGCGTCCTGGGCCCCTGGAGACTAACCCTGATTTTCTCCTGAAATCTGAGCACCCCCCGCCACTCTCACGCATTTACGTCAGTCTTGAATCAGCCAAGCCTCAAGCACTCCCTGGCCTGATCGGGACTCGCTCATTTCCTCGTCCGCCTCGTCCACCAGGGCACGGGCCATGCTACATGCCCTCTCCGTGTCCCCAGAGCCTGGCCCCTGGTCCGGCACAGAGAGGGCATCAGCAGCCACAGAGAAGGTGACTCTGCCCAGGAACCGCACCGATTTCAGGGAATTCCTGGATGCTGATGCCAGCAGGCAGTTTGGGGGTGCCCACACGCAGGCCCTTGATGGGGGTCTCAGAGCTGTTGGAGAAGTGGATGTGCAGAGACACCATGTGGGGGTCCCCGGAGAACGGCTGGCGGCTGAAGGTGTAGTCCACGGCCAGCCCCTCACCCGCTACACGGTGCAGGAGCTCCTGCCTCCCAACCCCCGACACTGGGCTCAGCAGCTAGAGGAAGGGAGAAAGATGAGGGGGAGTGTGGAAAGGAGCAAGAAGAAGCCTGCCCCAGCCACCTGGGGTCATCTAGCGCCGGGGCCTCAAAGCGTTCCCCTCCATCACGGCCCCTACGCACAGGTCCACACCACAGGATGCGGCACAGAGCGGTGTCCCTGTCCCAGGCCACTCACCGAGGGCACCAGTGGGGAGTCAGTGAGTGTCAGGCCCTCCAGGTCTGCGGCCAGACTAGTGGACACAGCCGCGGCGGGAGACACCGGCTGGATGCTGGGAGGGTTGACTGTGGGGGAAGAAGAAGAAGACGATGATGGGCAGAGGCAAAGTGGACTTGGCCTGAAGTGGGCAGGGCTCAGGAAGCAGACGGTTCAGCACCACGGACAGCGGAGGCACTGTCGGGCTGGTGTCTGTGCGCACCCTTGACCCCAGCCCCATACTTGGTGCCCTCTCAGGTCTGAAGATGTGTTCTGTCTGCTCACCCCACGCCCGAGCCCTGAGGAGCCTAACCCAGAGCTCCCTCGGGCCTTCCTCAGCCACACCCCCAGGCCTCCTTCCCCATGACCTCTGCTGCCCAAACTCACAGTCCTCTAGATCCAGCAGGGACACCTCCTTGGCGGCAGGGGCGCTTTTGCTGCTGGAAGGCTGAGAGAGAAAACAGGGTGTGGGTGTGGGAGGCAGTGCTCAGGCACAAGGCCCCATGGTGCGTTCTGATGGTGCAGGGTTCCTCCCTGAGCCCAGCCCCGCTGCCCCAAGGCCCTCACTGCCTTTTTCCTCCAGGACACAGGTTCCGCCTGCTCCTCCTCAGTCTCGGATGACATCTCCGACTCTGACGAGGGACTGCTGGAATCGCTGCCCTCGTCCGAGGACGAGCCTTCGGCTTGTCCCTTCGTCACCTTCTTTCTCTTCTTCATCTTGCTCTTCTCACCTTCTTCCTCACTCTGCTCACTGGGGGACAGGGGCAAGCGGCACTCAGGCCCAGACTGGACCCCCGCTCCTTGCTCACAGAAGAGCGGGGAAGCCCTGAGGAGTGGGGAACCTGGGCCAGTGGGTCCTGTGGCAGCTCAGGCCTGATGGCCTCTCCAGGCTGCCACCTCGAGACCTCCTGCGGCCACGGCAGCGGCCACGGCAGCAGCTGACCAGGGTGTGGGCAGGCCCCACCAGCTCATGAGGCTCCCGGGCTCCCAGGAGTTGGCCTAGGCTACGTGCTGGCCCTTCTTTCCCAGGGAGATCTCCAGCCCCGCCCACCTCTCACCTCTCACTGCCCCGCCCCTTCTCCTCGTCCTCATCCTGATCTTCATTGTCGGACTCGCTGCTCGACTCCCCAGAGCCGCTCTCGCTGCTGCTCTTACTGTCCGATTCGCTCTCGGACTCTGGGTCTGCAGAAGAACCGTCTCAGGCTCCCCTCCCTGGGTGCAGGCCTCCCGGGTCCAGAGCAGGCGGCCTGGGCTCGCAGTTTCAGACTCAGCACTGAGGCTGCAACCCTCCCCCCCAAACCCGCCCCTGCTTCCAGATGCCGACTAGAGCACCTGGGGGACAGACGGACCTGCACGAGCACACACACCCCGGGACCTGCAAGCCCTCCGGAGAGTAAACACAAAGACAGGGACACACAGGTACACACCCCCTTGGACACATGACCATGTAACACACACACACACACACACACATACACACACACACACACGGGCTTCAGACAGCACACCCGTGGGCAGCAGCACAGGGCCCAGCTCTCAATTTCCTCACCGCTGTCTGCAGACTCCGTGGGGCCCGACTCCCCCTCAGAGTCTGAGTAAAAGGGTTTCTCCTTCTCCTTCCTCTTCTCCCGATTTGAGCACTTGGTCCATTCAGGTACCTGGAGATGGGGGGTGGTGGGAGGGTTCCTGAGTCACGGTTGGGGAGGGGGAACGGAAGCACAGAGCCTTCTTATCCTTCACCCCACTGCTTCCGGCCCGAGGTCCTGTCCCAGGAGGAAACGGTGGGGGAGGGAGGTACCCTGTCCAGGAGGGGAAGGCTGCTGCGCGCAGAGGGCACTGCTGAACCAAGGGGACAGAGGGGAGGGAGCACGGGGGAAGCAGGGACGGGGAGGGGAGGGAAGCACTGCACGCTGAGCAGAGAGCACACGGCACACGGGTGCGGGGACCTCGGTGTACTCGCCCAGGAGGCCCACGTGCGTCTCAATAAGGGAGAGGTCTTCTTCCTGCACGTAGGGAGGGTGTCAGGAGGGCCAGGCGCCACCTGAGACACCAGGGCTCCCTGCGTCTGTCTCCCACCCCTGCTGACCTCCACGTTGCGCACGGACGGGTCCGGGGCTTCCTCTGGCCAGTCTGGCAGCTCCTGGTAGCCTGTGGCCTTGGCATTGAGCAGGTGGGACAGTGAGCCCAGCTGGAAGTGGTCCCGGTCTGGAGACAGGGTGAGAGGTCAGGCCAGGGTGCCAGTGAGGCATTGCCCTGGGAGTAGTTTCCTGGGGGCCGGTGATGATTCGGGGGGGGTGCCCTAGGTGGGTAAACGAAAGGATGGATGTGCCCCTCAACGGTCCTCCCACCATGACTGCACCTTCAGGCCCACATGCTGGAAGAAAGGTTGTCTGGCCTGCCCAGAGCAGGAGGCAGGAGGGATGGCAGGAAAGGGCAGTGGGCAGCTTCTCTCCCAGGGCAGCGGGGGCTGTGTGGTCTGGCACCGCCAGCTCGGGAAGGAGGGGAAGGAGGCCCAGCTGCGAGGAGCATAGCAACTGGGAACGAGGGGCCGGCCAGGCTGGGTCAGGGGCCCAGAGGGCTGAGAGTGAGTCCCCATGGGGGTGGGAGGACGTCAGGGCCGGGGGAGCGCAGCACAGAGACTTGCAAGTGGGGACCATGTTGGGAGGAGAGAGGGACGGCTTCCCTTCTTCCCAGATGTTCAAATCTGCCCCTTCCCTCAGATGGGAGTCCAGGGAAGAGAAAAAGCAAAAGATTCCAGGAGAACCAAGCTTTGTGGAGGAGGCTCCCCTCCTGTGCGGGCTCTTGGGTCCAGAGATGAGCTGAGACAGGCCAGGTGAGGGTCTGGGCCCCAGGTTGGATCTTCGGAGGCAGCCCGAACTGTTAGGACCCTTGCCAACATGCACCTCTCCCGGTGTGTTTGCTCTCTGCCTTCCTGGACCCTTGCACTTAAACTCTTGCTGCATAGAGCTGCTCAGGGAGACAGCCGGAGAGGAGCCGAGGAGCCCACCAGGCTGGGAGAGCACACTGGGCTTCACGGATGCTGGCGCTGGTTGTGGGTGGGTAGAGAGTAGCCCTGGGTGCGGCAGGACGGGCACAGGGGTGGGCTGCGGGGATTGGCTTTTCTCCAGGAGTCCTGCCCACAAAGCCTTGAGCGTGGCTGAGACAGAGACCTCAGGGGAAGCTCTGGGACCAGGGTCCTGCCCCCGCCCCAGGAAGGTGCCCTGATTTTAGCCCCACCTTTGAAGGACGACTCCAGGACGGGAGCCGGCTTGGGTGCCAGGAAGAGCTTCTTGGCGTGGCGGCTGAGGGCCCCGCCCTGCTCCGAAGGGACGATGAGCTGCCGGGTGAAGCGTGCGCGGTCGCGGATGTCATAGTTCTGGTCGTACTTGGCCAGACTCAGCACATACTGGGTCAGCAGCTTGGTCTGGGGGACAAAACGGGGTCAGCAGTGGGCAGGGAGCGGGGGCCACAGGAGGTCTCAGCACCAGACTCTGAGCCACCTCCACACCGTGCTTCCCTCCCCTCAGACCCGCTGCCCCACTCCCATCCCCCCACCACCACCGCAGACTTTGTCTTCCCTCCCCTCCTGACTCCTGACCCCTGCTCTGACAGCCACCTTTGGGCTCCCCTCCTCTTGACCATGGACTCCATTCCGTCTTCAGGTTTGTGCTCCCCATGACCCCAGTCCCAGCTCCTTCCCCACCTTGTCCAGGCCAGGTCAACCTCTACTCCGAGGTGCCAGGGTGAGTGGAGGTCTGGAACAGTCTGAGGCCTCAGAGTTTCCAGGTGCCATCACCCAGGGGAAGCTGGATGACAAAAACTGTGGCAGGGGCTGCCCCCACGCCCCTGGACCCATGGGGCAGATTCTGAGCCGCCCTGGGGTCTCAGCGCCACGGTCCTGCCCCGACAGGCTCTATTGAGATCAGAGCCAACGGCAGTGCCTATGGGGTTGCTGAAGCCACATGGGGTGCACACTCTGCACTCAAGGCAGCCATATCCCACGACCCCAAACCTCTCGATTTCTGCCCTGACCCCAGCCTCGTCTAACCCGTCTTTACAAAACGACCATGGTAGCCACCGTTTATAGAGTGCCTTCCAGGACCAAGCGCTGGGCCAGTGCTCCACACTATCCCGTCACCCCACAACCCTCAGAGGGAGCGGCGTTACCCCGTGTACAGAGCAGCAGCAGCATCCAGGCCTGGACCCTCCAGAGCCTGCACTCTAGGGGCTCCCCTCACGCCCACCTGTTGACTGGAGGGGGCTGCCCTCATCCGGGTCTCTGTCTCTTACGACCAAGACAGTCAAAAACCACCAAGTACACATGCCCCGAGTCACCACAGCCAGAGTGGCCGGGCCAGCAGGGGCCAGCAGAGACAGCCTGGAACTGACTCTGAACTTCCTGACGTTGTGGCTACATGCAGCCTGGGACGTGGCTGACCCAGATGAAGTGCCAGGGCCATCAGGAAGAGGTCCACGAGGTGCAGAGTCCCGAGGTGCTGGCCCAGAATCAGAGCTGCTGCGTGGCAGAACTCCAGGGAGCTGCTGTGATTACACTCGTACCCCTAACACAGCCCGCGGGACTCCGGGCACTTCGGGGCCTCATGTCAGCTCGGTCCCTTCCAGCATCAAGCCGCCTGCAGCGCTGTTCCCTTCAGACAAGCCCTCCGAACCCCACACTCCCCTAGGATGCCACCGCTGTGGACTTCGGCACAGACCTGCGGCTCCCTTGGCCGCACCACCTCAGCGGCCAAGGCTACTGATGCCCTGAGCAACATGGTCCATTTTAAGATGCTGCTGATCCCTCTTCCGGTTGGACAGTGTCTCCCTCCAGACTTCCTGGCTGGCTGATCACAGACCGCCCCTGCCCCCACGTCTTTGCCTAGGTCTGGAAAGACATGTTCAGGATCTGCATCTATCTGTCCACAGCCTCAACTGCACATCAACAGCCAACATGAGAACAGCCTGGTCCGCCGGCCTTTGTACCACAGATTTGCCTGTAACACTCCATTACCCTTCTCCACTCCAAGTGTCCTCCCCCAGGACTACGGCGTCCATTCTTCCCCACCAGGACCCCCCCCCCCCTTGGCCTAGCAGACCCTGCAGGAATCACAGGCTGCTCATGAGGGCCCACCAGACGCACTTCTATACACCAAGAACGGAACAAGCCTCCCTCTGGCCAGCGGGCTCCGGCTGCCAGGCAGAACTGTGAGGGGGAACAGGGACACCTCCCGAGAACCTGCCGATAGACCTGCCGTCCACAAACACCTGTTAAATCATGCCAGGGAATCTGGCTATTCAAAAAAAACAAAAGGCCCTGGCCGGTTTGGCTCAGTGGTTAGAGCGTCGGCCTGCGGTCCGGAGAGACCCGGGTTCAGTTCCCGCTAAGGGCATGTACTTCGGTTGCAGTTTGTCCCCGACCCTGGTTGGTCGTGCGGTGGCAGCCACTCGATGTGTCCCTTTCACATCGATGTTTCTCTCTCTCTCTCTCTCTTCCTCTCTCCCTCCCACTCTATCTGTACAAAAAAATGGAAAAATGTCCTCGGGTGAGGATAAAATAAATAAATAAATAAATAAATAAAAGAATGGAAGTACCTCCTCACTTCACACAGTACATGAAAGTCCGCTCCAGATGGGTGTGGCATCTGGGCCTCCCCCATTCCTGCCTTCTCATGCCTTTGTAACCACCTCCCCTGGAGAGCGGGGTCAGTAATTTGGGAGGGGTGGCTGGGACTGCTGTGGCCTGTGGCGCTCCCAGAGTGTCCCCCCATGGCACCGGAATGGGGGGCGCATCACTGCTGTTATGTAAGCATGGCCATGCAGATGTCCAAACCACCTCTCTCCCAGCACACCAAGGACGCCCTTTCTCCACCAGCAGCAGAACAGGGTGGGCAGGGAGGAAGCAGGGAGGAGGGGGTAGGAGGCAGAAGAAAAGTTCTTTTTTTTTTTTTTTTATCCTCACCCAAGGATATTTTTCCATTTTTTGTACAGATAGAGTGGGAGGGAGAGAGAGGAACAGAGAGAGAGAGAGAGAGAGAGAGAGAGAGAGAGAGAGAGAGAGAGAAACATCGATGTGAAAGGGACACATCGAGTGGCTGCCACCCGCACGACCAACCAGGGCCGGGGACAAACTGCAACCGAAGTTCGTGCCCTTAGCGGGAACCGAACCCGGGTCTCTCCAGACCGCAGGCCGACGCTCTAACCGCTGAGCCAAACCGGCCAGGGCAAGTTCTTGATATTTATTGAGTCAGACCATCCTAAGGGGCCTGCGCGGGGAGGCCTCCGCTTTGGGTGAGGGGTGCCCGCGGCTCTGCGCCACCCCGACTGCAGCACTCACTGCTCTGAGCTCTGCGCTGTTTCCCTACGTGCTGTGAGCACTTGGAGGCCAGCAGCCAGGGCTTGCTCGCTGCCATTTCCCCAGGACACAGCTCAGTGACAGGCATGGCCGGCACTCAGGAAACTTATTCTAGAGCAGTCAATCAACAATAACGCACGCAGCCAACACACGTGGCCAACAGCGACCACTTGGGAAATGCCACGTGGACACGCCCAGGCTTGTGAAAACGCCAACGACACTGTCTGGGGCTCAGTCCTGAGCCTATCGGCACGGGCCTGCGTGGCTCCCCACCCGCACTGCTTCGTCTCCTCCTGTGTTCCTCCCACCTGCTCCTTGCTCCCCTCTGAACAAGAGCCACACTAACACCTGTTCAAGGACGGGGTGCTCCCCAGGGTGCTCCCTCCGCCTTCTCCTTTCCAAGCTGCTTCTCCCACAATCCCGACACCCACACCCAGGGCCCACTGCCTCCACACGTGGCCGCTGTCCTTTGCAGCTCCTCACATGAGGGCCCTGCCTCTCCAACCCGCGTCCCTGGGGCCCGCTCTGGCCACCATGGATCAAAGGAGCCATGGGAGAAACACAGCGCCACCACCCAAAGACTGCCATGGGATGCCACCTTCCGCCCTACCAGGCCCTGGTCCCCAGAGTAACTATGGACACTGGGGGACACTAGCTACTCGGGAATACCAGCCACCTGCCCTGAACTCTCTTCAGAAAGAGGTGCTGGAGTTCACGCCTACCTGGTGAAGGCGCAGAGTGCTGCCCGGGCTGTTTCTGGGGACCCGAGTGTTTTAGGGGCATCTCTCAATCTTTACCTGCTTGGAGTTGGTCAGGTAGAGCTTGGCCGCCAGGTTGATGACCTGCAGCTTGACAATGTCTTCCTCTGCTGTGAAGGACTTGGCCATCTTTCTCAGGACGTCGGGGGCAATCTTGGGGACGTGCTCACAGTACTCACCGATGAGCCACAGGATGCTGGCTCGGGCCATGGGCACCTGTGGGCGTGGGAGGCGTCAGGACTGGAGTGAACGTGCGTGTGGGCGCGCACGGGGCCTGCCAGGGAGACGGCACTCCTCCCGTCTGCGCTGGCCTGCTGTATTGTGGGTCAGTGGGGTGGTGGGAGAGACTGAAGGGTGGGCATTTCCTGGGCTGCATCTCCCTTCTTCCGGGGGGTTTCACTGGCTTCTTCAAGCCCCAAAGTCAGTCATGGTTTTAAAGACTGATGTCCGGGATCCCGTGTCCTCAACGCTTCACTCCCTGCTCTCTTCCTGAATCTTCAGGAACACCTTGTTTGAAAGTTTCAATTTGGCAGGAAAACACAGGGTTTTTCAACCGGCCATCCTTGGCAGGAGCATTGGAGAAAACTAGAGTGGGGGGCTCTGTGAGGGACCCCCACAGGGAAGGCGAATCTTGGGCGACACCACCAGGGTCGCATGGCCCTGTCTTACCCGTCCTTCCACCAGAAGACCTTTCAGAGCGAGTATGGAAGGTCCGGAGGCTGACTTTGCTAATTACAGGGACTCAGAGTCACGGGGAGGACGCTGGGACGGAGAGGGGCGCGGGGCCACTCCCTCACCTGGATGTTGTCCGTGAGCTTCGCCAAGTGCTTGATGATCTCTCCGTGCTGGGCCGGCTGCATCTGCAGCAGCTTCTTGATGACCACCACTGACTCTGCGACCACCAGCTCTGTGGACGGAGAAGGTGGACCCCGCGGGGGCAGATGGCCACATGCAGGCAGACAGACACTACAATGCCCCTAGACCTGGCTCTCTTCCCCATCCCCCTGCACCCCTCCAGTGGCCCTTGAAGATGCAGGAACACCTGGACACTAATGGAGGCAGACAGACTGATGGACACACATTGAGCCTGGACAGACAGATGGATACCCACTGGCCGTCTGACACGCAGGCAGACACCCACTGGTCATCCAAGCTGGACACTCAGACACACACTGACCATCGCGGTTGGACAGCAGCTGCACCAGGCCGTTGAGGCAGGTGTCACGGACTCGGCCTATGTTAGTAGCACAGCGTCCAATGGCCTGGATCGTGGCTGCCACAAAGTCCTTGTCCATGCTTCGGATGTAGGTCTGCGGGACACCACAACAGAGTGACCCCCCCACACCCCGCAGGCAGTGACCCCTCAGTGACTCTGCAGGCTTGTGGGTGACCTTCTGGAAAATTGTCACCCCTCACTCAATGACTCATCATGCCAGAGACTAGATTCTGGGAGAGGGAGTGACACCCTCATCTGTCGCCCAATGACTCCCTGGCCCAAGGCCAGCAGAGGCATTGGGAGAGGATCCAAGATAACTGTTTCTCCACTGTGGACCCTTAGGAGAAGTCTCAACCCACAGGACAGTTCTTGCTGTGCACAAGGAGCTGCAGGCAGCTCCCCTGGGCCCCTCTGGATGGGAGCTGCCCCGGCCCATACCTGGAATTCCCGCAGGACCGTCGGGATGTTGGTCTCATTGGCCAGGTTGGTCAGCACTTCCAGCTGCAGGGAGGCAGAAAGGGGGCATTCTGTGCTTTCACAACCCATCATTCCAATCACCTTCCGCAGCCCAGCAAACCACCCTCAGGGCAGCCCTGCAGCATCCTCACTCTGATAAACTTGTCCACAATGCAGAGGACCGTTTACCTCTGAAATGGATTCCCGGACAGCACTTACAGCATGACCAGGTCACCTCTCCACCTCCACTGACAACGTAAAGCCTTCCACACTGCTTTTAGGATAATGACGAATGTCCTTCCCTCGGTCTGTAAGTCCCTGAATGACATGACCACTGTCTACCTCGGATCTCCCACCACTCCCCCTTGCCCTCAAGGCAAGTCACACAGGCCTGCCTGTCAGACTCCTGCCTGCCTCAGGGCCTTTGCATGTGCCGTTCTGATATAGATAATTCACGTTTCTCAGGCCTCAGTGCAAGCCTCCACCTGAAGGAACATTTCCCTGGCGCCAGACTAGATCAGGTCCTCCGACTTTACACTCTTACAGCTCTTTGCACTGTTCTTTCACACCGTATCTCGAAAATGGGTTTTTCCATTTGTTTTGTGATTAGCTGCTGCATGCCCCCTCCTCAAGTAGACTCTAAGCTCCACCAGGGCAGGGGGCCTGGTTAGTCCGCTTTCTCTGAACTGTTTAAATTACTCAGTGGGGTAACAGAGCAGGAATGACTCCTGCCAATTTTCCCGTGGGCATGTGTTTGCATGAGAGCCTGAGGGGGTGGTTGTGTGGGGTGATAACACCATGGGTGGAAGACAGAGAACTGCACTGGGAAAGTGTGAATTTTCAACTCAGCAGAACTGACCTAGGGGTAGTTACCTCAGCTCCCCGGGTCCACATTTTAATAGAATGGAGAAAATGTACACTTCCTGAGGTTATTATGAAAAACAAATTGCTTCATGTGAAAAGTGGCAGGTGTGTAACGGGTCTAGGCAAAGGGCAGTCCCGTGCCGTCCCCCTACCCTCATCAGCCCGGCTTCCTGAGCAAACCTTCGGCCGGGGCGGCCATGGGCTCAGCCCCAGAAACAGGCAGGCACCAGGTGGCCCCTGTGGGTACCTGAGTGGGTCTGTGGTGTGGGCAGTGGGACAAAAGGCCATACCACTTCTCTCCGCCACTCACCTTCAGGATCTTGATCTGGGTGGGGTCGGTGGACCTGATGTAGAAGCTCTTCAGGTAGGGCTCGAACATGCCCTGCACAGGAGAGGCAGCCGGAGTTCCCTCACAGCCTCTCTCCAGGGCCCCCCTCCTCCTGGCCCAGGGCCCAGGACCCTCCCTGCCCATCACTGTCCTCCACTCCTCATTCTTCCCCTCCTCCCTCCTAGAGCTGATGGGGGTCTTTCTTCACTGGGTTTTCTTCCCCGATTGGCCCTCAGGATCCTGCATTTGGGGTCTCCCATCCCCCATGCCGCCCTGCCAAGCCACTCTCCCAGCCAGCCTTGCCCTGGTGCCCCTGACGCCACAGAAGCCACCCACAGAATGGGAGGACGGGCCTTGGCCGCTTGCTCACCCGGCGCTTGATGGACATGGTGGCCACATTCTGGAGCACCACGTACTGCACCTCACTGCAGAGAGGACGGTCAGAGGTTACATGGACCCCTGGTCAGGGCCAGGGCCGCAGGCAGAGTGAAGAAAAGGGGACCGAGGAGAAGGGAGGAGCGGCCGGTGTGGGCCGGGCACCAGTGGGAGGAGGGCGGAGCCGGGGTCAGCCGGCGGGCAGGTGGGGGCAGGACGAGCGAGGGTCCAGGAGTGGGGCGGGGCCGAGCAGGGTGTGGGCGGGGCGGGCCCCCACCTGTGGCTGCGCAGCAGGCGCACCAGCGCCTTGGCGATGACGCCCACCTCGGCCTTGGGCGCCAGGTGGAAGTAGAGCTGCGCCACCGCCATGACCACCGCGGCGCTGCGGCTCTGCAGCAGTGGCTTCGTGTTGCGCAGCAGCAGCCGGTGGTCGGGGTCCATCACGTAGGGCTTCCTGGCGGGCAGCGTCGCGGTGGCCGCCTCCTCCGACCCTGGGCCCTTGGCCTCGTCCTCCTCTGAGCCGTAGAAGGCTTTCTCGGGGTTCTCCTCCAGAAGGGACTCCTGTTGGGGAGACAGGTGGGGCAGCGGGGGGCTCCTCCCGCGACCCTCCTCCCCCTCGGGCCAGGCGCGCTCACGTTCTGGGTGGGGCTCAGGAACTGCGTGCGCGCGTAGCGGGTGAGCATGCTGATGATGACCACCTGGCCCCACTCCTCCACGTCGATGAGCAGGTTGCAGAGCTTCCGGTAGTTCTTGTGAATCAGGTCGATGCGCTCCGGGCACACCTCCTCGAAGGCCATCACCACGCTGCCCGCCACGAGCTGGGAACCGACAGAGAGAGAGGGTCCATGGAAGGGCAGGAGGGCCTCTGTCCAGCACCCTCCCACCACCCACCCTGTGTACCCTATACACACCGTGGTCTTGTCGGCCAGGAGCTTCTCAATGACCTCTATCAGCTGGTCCTTCTGGTCAGAGTCCAGACTGCGGGACACACTGTTGAGAGGGACTTGCCCCCCCATCTCCATCTTCCCAGTGTCCGCCCAAGCGATGCTCCCCCCCTCCCCCCTGTATTCATAGAGAGGTGTGAGCCGCCACCCCCACGGTCCTCCATCTGTCAGTTCCCACAACTGTCTTAAACCACCTGAAGGGCAAAACAAAAGCAGGGCAGTCTGCAAGACCTGACCTGAGACAGGCCAGGGTGGCCAGGGGACTTGGGAACCGCCCCCCAGAGGAATGACGGGCAGCACCGGGTCACACCTGTAGAGTTTAGGGATGGCGTGGGCAGCGGTTTTCCGCACGTAGGGCGACATGTCCGAGGCAGCTTCCTTGATGGCCAGCATCATGATGGGCACTATGATGGGCACGCGGATGCTGGAGAGGACCCGCAGGGCACTGGCACGAATCAGCTGGTTGGGGTCCTAAGGGCAGAAGTGGAGGCAGACTCATGAGAGGCCGCACCTGTGGAACCACCAGCTCCTGTTTCCCTGCCCCTCCTGCCCCTGGATGATGTGCCCGTGTTGGGTTCCTGGGACCACTGCCTGAGGACACTGACTTTTGGCCCTGGCTGCACAACTTGGACACCTGAACAGGCGTGGCCATGGGCTGCTTGTTTTAGAAAGAACGGGAAGCTTTCAGAACTCGAAAGTTCCTTTGTTCATGCCGGAGGTGACTACCAGCAAACGCAAGCTGGTCTCCCTTCCCGAGAGTTCCCCTCACATTCCTCTCCCCAGTGATCCTCCCCAGCTGCTCCCCTCCTCTCCTCCCACAGAACTTAAAAGAGAAGAGTGTGTGGGCCCTTCCTCCTTGCTCCTATAGCTTCCTGAGAAGGACCTCAGACAGTGTACTGCAGCCATGGGACAGCAACAGAAACAGCTGTAAATGACAGTCCCTCTGGGAGGAGGCTGGGCAATGGCAGGGGCTGTACATGCAAGAGAGATGCCACCCTGGTTTTCTACAACGGAGAAAGATCCACAACAGTACTGACAAAAATGATGGTAATTCCTGTCAAAACTCTGGAATTGATTTTAAAACAGATGGTTTAAAAGCACTTATTTAAAAAGCAGGAGTCTGTATTTTCTTAGAGTAAAATCATATCACAATCACCACTAAAATGTATTTTCCATTTTTTAGAAACATTTTATTTGAAAATGATTATGGATTCACAGGAAGTTACCCCTCAAAAATTCTTTTTCCTTTCTGACAGGGTAACTAGGCTGGTAGGTATTAACACCGCGCATCCTGACTTCAGCAAGGCTGTGGTGGGAATCTCTCACAGACTTCCAGGATGGTCATTTGTGGTGCAGGCCTTTTGTTTCACTGAATATATAAGCATTTTAAGAGCAGAATTCATGTTTATTTTATCTCTGAGTCATCACAGCACAACCCTCTGCACATGAAAGGTGTTAAGAAATGTTTTTGCTATTGAATAAGATCCTTCCCAATAAGATAGGAAATTCAGGCTGACTGCAGGTAGGTAGGCGCACGACTTGGTAAAAAGTTATACACAGAGAAGGCCAGTGTCAACCTGGAAACGTGACACTGTATGCCCAGGACCCAGTCGGCTGCCCTGGTGCACAGAGCTTATCAACATCTCGGAGGAAGACACACAGTCAGAAGCACCCCGTGCTAAACCACTAAAATTAAATTCGGGAGATTCGTAGGAGATTCAAGGGACCGACTGCATGAAGACAGGATGGAGGGAGGCCTCGCTTATCTGCTTGCCAACTGGACGTTTGTCTGAATGGAACCAACCACATTAGGGGGCTGCTGAGAAGCCTGATAAAAAGAAGGGGGACCCCAGGTAGAGATGACTGGTACGAATGTACAACAGAGACAAAAACAAAAAACCACAAACAGTAACAATAACAAAAAGAAAGTGAGTTTTAGAGAAACACATATATGATACCATTTGCAAGACAGCATTATACATGATTTAGGAATAGGTAAATAAGCAGTAGCAGGATAAATATATACATACATACATACGAATGATACACAGGGGAAGAGGCAGAGGGGGCTTTGGCTGTTTGAAATTTTGTTTCTCCTTTTTTTTTAAATTTTTTTTTTATCCTCACCCGAGGATATTTTAACATTTTTTGTACAGATAGAGTGGGAGGGAGAGAGAGGAAGGGAGAGAGAGAGAGAAACATCGACGTGAAGGGACACATCGAGTGGCTGCCACCCGCACGACCAACCAGGGCCGGGGACAAACTGCAACCGAAGTACGTGCCCTTAGCGGGAACCGAACCCGGGTCTCTCCGGACCGCAGGCCGATGCTCTAACCGCTGAGCCAAACCGGCCAGGGCGATATTTTGTTTCTTATGTTGGGTATACAGCTATTCATTGCATTGTTCTTTATGCCTTTGGTGAGTCTGAAAACTTGACAAATTATAGCTATGGAAGTTTCAACACAATATAACAATTTTAAAAATAGCAATTGTCTTAAAATGGAGCTTGTTGCCTAGGAAGAAGTGAGTTCTCAGTCATTGGCGAGATGGTCTAGAGCAAAGGTCAGCACTGAAGCCCTCAGGCCAAGTCCGTCTTCTGCCTTTTTCACAAATTAAAATGTACTGGAACGCGGCCATGCCCACGCATTTATGGCTGCTTTCACACTACAGGGGCAAAGTTGAGTAGTTGCACAGTTGACACTGTATGACTTGCAAAGCCTAAATGACTGTCTGGCCGGAACCAGAATAAGTTTGCTGGCCACTGTTCTAGAGAAATCACTGAACTGAGCTGGACTCGATGAGCTCTGGTTTTCTAAAAGGGAAGCAAAGGCCAGACTGTAGAAACTACAGGTATGTGTAAAAACCTGTCCTTGCAAAAATTCCAGAATGATTCTTATAAGATGATTTAACCCTGATTCAAACTAAAAGATTACTCACCAATCTGAGATAGATCCTTTGGTTCAGACTTTTAAAAATAACCTAGCACAATGTGTGGCATAGATACCCGAATACTTTGCTGAGTGAGTGAGTGAACATATATGCAAGTGTCCTGCTTTCCGCCCATCAGGGAACACCTTGTCAGCCCCTCCCGCTGGCCGCAGCAGATTGAACCGGGCAGGATTTGGGTGGTCCATTCTCATGAATGCATTTCATATACAAAACAAAAGGTGCGAACATTCAGTTTAAATGTTCAGTTTAAATTGTCCTGTGCACCAGAAGGTGGTGGGTTTGATTCCTAGTCAGGGCATATACCCAGGTTGTGGGTTTGATCCCTGGTCGGATGGGTACAGGAGACAACCAATTGATGTTTCTCTCTCTCTCTCTCTCAAATCAATTAAAATATATTTTAAAAATTTTTTTAATAAATAAATAGTGTGGGGGAATTCAGCCTCCACTCCAGTGTAAAGGACTTGACTCCCCCCACGTCCCTTCCTGTAGGGGATTTCAGTTCCCACCTGCCTCAAAGAGCGTTTCACCACCTTAGATGAAATCCAGGTCGTTAAAGGCGGCTGTTTTGCATACACCAGGCATCTGAGATAAGGCTAAACAGAATACGGAGTTTGTTCCAACCCTGCAGGAATAACTGGCTGTGCTGAACGTACAGAAAATAGGTCATGTGTCACGTCCTCTGCGCTCACCCTTGAATTCAGCCTGTGTGTCTGAGGCAGCCCTGCTGCATGGCCAACTGCACTGTTTTCCTCTGTGGGACTCATTTGTTGTCGGTAAATCCTTCTATCCTCCTTACACAGTTCTAGGTGAAAAGATCCCAAAGTCATTGTTCTCTAGATACCTAGACTAGGTGAGGCTCTCACACCCACAGGTCAGCGGCTCCCGTGTCTTAAGGAGCCTGACTTCTGTCTGCCAGGCTGCGGACAACAGTTCCTTTGCAGCAATGGGGTCAGGGCCAGTGGGGTCCACTGTCAGGGGCCAAGGGGTGCATATCTGAGGCCGCCATTCACACCGGCTTGTCAGGGGAGAACGGTCTCTGGACACGCCCGTCATCTTTCCTCTGAGTCACTCCCCCAAGCTCAGGCAGGTGGGAAAGGGCCTCGGAACGCAGGCCCCTCCCTGGGCCCACTCTTCCAATCCAGCACCAGTGAGACCAGGCCCACGGAGGCGCTGAGACCACTGACCTTTAGGCCGCGCTGGAAGGTGGAAATGGACAGCAGGGCCAAGTCTTGCTGCTCCTCAGCGTAGCGCACCAGGTACACGTAGACGAGCTTCTTCACCTGGGGGAGAGCAGGTTTCCCCAAAGGGATGGTGCCCCCACCTCATGCAATGTCATCACCCCGTCATCCCCTGACTGTGGTCCACGGGGACACATTTCTTCAGTGGGGAAGAGCACCCCTAGTATACCCTGCCTTGTCTCTGACCCACATCTAGATCAGGGACATGTGGACAGGGTCTCTTCCTGGACCAGGGACATGTCTGGGCAGGTCGGGCCACCAGGGGCTGGATGGTTCCCTTCCTCATCTCTGACCAGCTGCAGTTTATTCCTGGTGGAGGGGGGCATGAGGCACACCTCACTGGGGAGGGCTCACCTCTATGTTCTTACAGGCCACATTCTTCACCACAGCGGGAAACAGGTCTGAGGCGTTCTTTCCCCGGGCGATCATCTGGGTGGTAAGGTCAAGGTCAGGGGAGAAGGAGTAGGGAGGAGGCCAGCGCTTCATAGGGGATGGTCCGCGAAGGGACAAGGAGAGCTGCTGTTTGACCCCTTCCCCAAGGAAATTCTCCTTCTTCCCTCCCCCTTACCGCCACAATCCTCTTCATGGCCTCCAGCTTGAGGGAATCCTTGTTGGTGTCCAGCATCTCCTTCAGGTCATCATGCCTGGTGGAGGCACAAGAGGTCAGTTGAGGGCACAGGGTGGAGGGGGGGCGATCAATCAGGAGGATCCAGGCAGGAAGAAGGGACGTGGGTGGGGACGGCTCGGGCAGGACCTCATCAGAGGGGAAGGAACTAAAAAGTACAGATCAGGGGACTGGGGGTCGGGAGAAACATGTGGGTCAGACAGAGTTGTGGGTTGAACTGTGTCCCCCTCAAAAAAGATATGTTGAAGTCCAGCGAGGACTGGAGTGATCCATCTACAAGTCAAGGGACACCAAAGACGGCCAGGAAACTACAAGAGTCTAGAAAGAGGCAAAGTGGCCCTGCTGACACCTTGACTTGGGACTTCTGGCTTCCTGAACTACGAGACGATCCATTTGTGTTGCTCCCCATTCAGCGACTAGACCACGGATGGTTCCCTGGCCAGGTGCCCGTGTGCAGCGATTAGCCTGCCCAACCATACTCAGAGGTCCTGGCGCTGGTGGTCAAAAAAGTGAGCAGAGACCTGAATGAACCCCTGGGAAAATGTGCCTCCACACAGCTGCCAGAGTTGAGGGACACCTGACGCACTCATCCACTGCCAAGACAGCTCCAAAATGTGGTGAGCAGCAGCGTGCGGAGACCTGCGCACTCTCTCACCTCCCGGATGACACTCCGACGACCCGCAGCTTTTGACCAGGCAGGAGAACCCCGCCTGGAGAATTGTCAGCGATGGCAGAAATTAAAGAGCAGCGTGTGCAGCGCTAGTCACGGAAGTGGAACACTCAGGGTAACAGAAAGCCAGAAATTGGGAGCGGCGCTATTCGGAGAGGGAAGAGCGTGACAGCAGTCATCGAGAGGCCAACGCGACTGCTGCGGGTGCTGAGCAGTGAGGAAGGGACGGATGCTAAGGGGAGGAGGAGAGCCCGACAGCACACACCCCTAGCCATGGGGCTGCAGTTTGTAGCAGTGCGTGAGTGCTTCACAGATAAAAGCGGAACAAGACAGGAAGGGTGCGAAGAAATTCACGTTCCGAAGAATTTTAGCAAGTGTTCCTGCTGAAGACATTTTTTATGGAAAGCAGAACAGAAAGATGACGCCTTCCAGAACGCAGAGGTCTTGCTAGCGGTCAGAGGAAGGCAGAATATACCCAGCCCCAGTCATGTCAACCTAAAACTCCACTACTTTGGGGGATGCCCCCTCCAAGCGGGAAGACACGTCTCCTCTCCTCAGGCCAAGCCAGGTGCAGAAGGCAGCCACCTTGTCACTCTCCCAAACACAGCTGGGGGGCTGAGCCCACAACAGGGGTATAGACAGAAGTACGGACCGTTCAGCCAGGCCTGGGCAGCACGGAGGAGCTGCATACCACTTCCTCCAATATACAAATGCAACCCACTGCACCCCCGGGATCTTCCATAGATGCCCCACAGTCAGCTCCCACCCCATAGACACCTACATACTCCAGCATCTCCACCAAATGCCGGTACCACCCACATGTACCAGACACTCCTATATGCCTCCCAGACACACCTACACCCCCTAGACACACCTATACCACTAGACACACCTACAGGCCCCAGACACATATACAGTCCATACATAAACCCACACACACCCATGACCTCCACTGAAACACAGTCATAGGCTCACCACACCACACAGGCACTTTCCACAGAAACATGTTCTCCACACATAAACTCCCACACCTATAAACACACACGCCTCACCTCCATACCCCTACGGACACCCACAAACCCATACACACATCCCGACAGACACATACCCACCACAAGACCTCTCCACGCTCCCCCGACACCCTCATATAGACATACACACCCCACACATACACACCCGCTACACACGCAGATACTTTTTTAACAAAATTCGGTCATTCCAGGATCATTCACCAAAATGGCCACTGGCCTCCTGTTGAGATTCTTGACGCTATAACTAGGCTTCTAAGGTCAGATACATCAGCCTCAGGGATCCTGTGCCCTCCTGAGGCGCCAGGTGGGTGTCCTCACCTGTCACCCTGGGGTGCCTTTCCTGGGAGCAGTGGTTGGTCTCTTTAAATTCTGGGTGTTCTCTAAAGCAGAGTTCCTCACACCCGGGTGTCCTCACCACACCCACAAATGCCACAGTTGCTTGTCAAATGCACATACCCCAGGGCCTGCGCTGGGGCACCCACACCACTCCCACCCACCCAGCCTGGTACACACATTCCAGGCCCCTGGAGGCTCCAGGCCCCGGGCCAAGAACTGAGGGAGGGTATAGGGCAGAAGTACAGGCAGGACTGTCAGATGCCCACTAACACAGACAGACCACCTGGAGCCCCTCGTCCTCACTCCCACCAGTATGTTCTCCAGAGCGAGCGGAAGGGAGACGCACAGCAACACCCTGCGGTCGTGAAACCTTACTCTCCATAGTCAGATCCCCTTACACCACTCGCTCTGACCTGACCCCTCACCTGGCTTGAGGACCTCTGGGGGTTAAACATGGCATCTGAGGCCAGTCATGCTCACCACCTCTCACAACACACGCTCCAGTTCCAATTCACAGCCGGGAGAGGCTGGCCAAACCCTGTTGGAGCTTTATCCTGTCCCCAAACCTCACCTAGAGCCTATTCTGGCCTGGGCCTGGGGAAGGAAAAGGTCATTGTGGGACCTCAAACTTCCAACACTTGACAATCCTCCTCCCCTCAGAATTCTGGGGAGTTAACACTTCTCATCATCCCCACTCACTCTCAGTCCCCATACTGTGACCCCACCTGCCCCACCTGGACCTAAATGCCAGCCCAGTCCTCTTTCTCCGGAGCGGTGGGACCGAAGGTCTGGCCTTCCCGGCTATCTGGGTGGGGTCTCCAGGGCTCCTCTGTACCGTAGTGGCTGGCTCTGACTCTGGCCTTGGCCAGGCTCTGGGCAGGCTCCTTCCAGGGATGCTTCTGGAGTTGTGTCTTCCTCCGGAGCCTGGAGCCACCGAAGCTCCTCGGGCTGCAGGGCCTGGTACCAGGGTGGGGGCCCGCCTTCGGGGGCCAGCACGGGGCTAGAAGCCTCCTGGTCAGCCCCGCTGACCCCTCTGGCCCCTGTCCTCACCACGGCCCCCGGGAGCTGCAGGAATCGCTGCATCGCACAACAGGTCCTGCTCTGGGACGGGACTGAGCTGACCAGGGAGCTGAGGACTCTGTCACTGTCACCAGATGGCCCGCCCCCGAAACTCAGAAACTGGACACTGGCAGGGAGAGCGGCTCTGGTTTCCTCCTTACTGCTCAGAGACAAGGACTCAGGAGGGGAGGAGACTGGGCACTAAGCCAAGCCTCAATCTCTGAGCAGGGAGCTCGGGGGTCAGGGGAGCCGATCCAGACAGAGGGAGGGGTGCCCTCCTTACTTCTAGTCACACCAAAGCTGGACCTCTGCCTCCCTAGAACCACTCTTCAGAAACCCTGCACACTCCTTTCTGCTCTGACCCTGACCTTCTTGCCTCTTCTTATCTCACCTTCCTCCCTGCCTGGCCTGGGCCTCCAGGTCATCCCTCCACCTGCTCACTCACACCCTTGGCCCTCTGGTCCTCACTCCCTTTCTCTGCCAGTAGTGGTTGATTTTATTCACTGGATTCCAAACCCCCTCAACCCTCCTCAAGTTCCCACGCTCAGCTTTGCCTTAGATAAAATCCCTCCCAAACATCTGTGCTCTCCTCTCTTCCTGCTCTCCTTTCTCTGGGCAGAGCTGGTCCTCCCCAAAGCCAGGCCAGTCCGGCCACTCAGCTCTGTGAGCCCCTGCCCCCCATCACTCTGGGTCTGTGCCTCCTTCTATTCCCTTCGGTCCCTCCCACCCTCCTGGCTGCTTCCCATCAGCAGTGAAAGTTGCTCTAAGCGCTCCCATCCTAATAAACAAAAACGACAAACTTAAAACAGACAAACTTCCTTGAATCTGTGTGCTCCTCCAGCGACCCCTTCTCTCTTTGCCCTTTACACTCAACTTCTTTTTTTTTTTTAATCCTCACCTGAGGATATTTTTCCTTTTTTTTTTTTTTTTTTTTGTACAGATAGAGTGGGAGGGAGAGAGAGGAAGGGGGAGAGAGAGAGAAACATCGATGTGAAGGGACACATCGAGTGGCTGCCACCCGCACGACCAACCAGGGCCAGGGACAAACTGCAACCGAAGTACGTGCCCTTAGCGGGAACTGAACCCGGGTCTCTCCGGACCGCAGGCCGACGCTCTAACCGCTGAGCCAAACCGGCCAGGGCTACACTCAACTTCTTGAAAGCAAGATTCTCATTCACCGTGTTTTACTTATTCAGCTCCTATCCACCTCTCTGTTCACTTTAATCTGGCTTTAGATGTTGATTAGAATTTAGGGCTGAGGGGGTCATGATGTCTGCAACTTACATGATTCAGCTAAAAATAAGCATGACTAGATGGCTTGATAAAGCAAATGTGGCACAATGTCAACCATGGTTGAATCCAGGTGAAGGATGTACATATTACCGTATTGCTCATTCAACTTTTCTGTTTGTTTGTAATGTTCACAATAGGATATTGGGGAAAATGATCCAGCTTCTCCTCTGACTTTGCCAGAACGGGTCTCCCAGGGCAGGAGGTAGGGAACAGGACAAGGAGGGGTTGACCTGCTCTTTGTCAAACCAATGGTCACAAATGTCTTTCCTTGTTCGACTTGACCGCGAATCCATGTTTTATTTGCCTCCTGTTTTTTGGGTTACTTTCTGTTACCTTGAAACACTTTCCCCCTGCACTCTGGTCACCCATAATATTGGTGTCTTCAGGGCTTATACCTGTGCCCTGGATGAACTCATATACTCTCCTTGGGTTAATCTTCACTTCCTTCTGTGGCCTTACACACACAAACACACACACACACACACACACACACACACACACCCCTCCTGGAATCCAGAACCTAATGTTCAACTACTAGATTATAATCTCAGAATGTCCAAAGCTGGACTCGACACTGTTTTCCACAAATCTGCTTGTAACATCTTTACATCCAACCATACTGAAGAGCACCGCCATCTATCTAGCTGCAGTCACTAGGAACCTCAGTATCAACCTTGTCTTTTCCTAGCCCGGTCCTCTTACCTCTTTCCTAATTAATCATCAGGTCCTGGCTTCCACCTCGAGAGCCCTCAAATCCTCTGCCCCTTCCCTGTTCTAGGCCATCACCATATCCTCCCCCGCCTACTTCAACCCTGCTGTCCCCCCCCACACACACACACCTCTGGCTCAATCCAGCACACCCTCTAATTTCTTCTCCATGATTCAGCCTGCGATTCTTCTAAAATGCAAATCTGGTAAGAGCAGTACCCCCAAAACTTTGGCCTCTCCCACCCTCATTTCTGGTCACTTCCGTGGTGTGCATGGTGATTATGGCCCTACTGTACCTGCACCTACAAAACCTGTGATCTGGCTTTCCTTCACCTCCCCGTCTTCCTACACGCTCTCTGGTCTGCCTGAAACACCCCTCACTCTCCACTCTCCAGGGCCAGGGCCCAGCTCCCCTAGTCCTTCCCACCGTCCCCACTACACCGCATTGTCACCAGCAGACTCTTTCTCTGTGCTCCCCACTCCAGAGCAACTTGAGGACAAGGACCATTTCATGTTCATGGCTGTATTCACAGTGACTAGGACTAGACTCCACAACGTAGGCCCTTACATATGCTTGTTTCAGAATTTACCAATGAACGAAGGAATAAGGCAGAGGTGGGGAGGGCAGAGGGAAGTTAGGGTGGAGTTGAACTACTGGAGCAATGCACCAGGTAAGTGATGGGGATGAGAACGTGGGGACCAGAACGAGGGGAAGCGGATCTGGAGGAGGAGCCACGCCCGGGAAGCTGGAACCTAACTCCGGGTGGGCCTTCCTCGCCAACTCTGACCCCTCCCCAAGTTCTTCTGCAATCAATTGGCCTTGTGGGGGAAAGGCGGGGAACCGCATCCAAACACGCAGAAACCCCGAGGGCGGAAGGGTGTATCCTCCAGGAACAGAGGGGGCTGGCCCTTCCCCTCCAGCCTCCAAGCCCCTTCTCGGGGCCCAGGTCCCTCCCTGTTGGGAAGCTGTGTGGGGACCTGTGGGTGGCACAGGGCTGTGGGTTTCAGTGCGGCCGGGGCGGCCTGGCGGCCGGGCGCTGTCCATGGTGCCGGCGCCGCTGCGAGGCCGGGCGCAGGCGCGGGACGGGGAGGCCCCAGCCCCTGCCCACCCTCTGCTCGCCTCCCTCACCGCTTGTAGTCCGAGGAGAAGATGCCGCCGCTGGCCGGGTCGTGGCCGTATTCGGGCTCCCCTGGGCCCGCAGAGCCTCCCTTATCCTCATTGTAGGCGGGGGCGGTCGACATGGGTGGCCGGGGTGCAGCGGCGGCGGGCCGGGGAGGGGGCGCAGTCAGGCGGGCGGGTCTGCGCCGGCGGCGAGGTGCGGGGCGCTCTGCAAGGGCCGCAGTCCGCGGAGGCGCAGGCAGCGCGCCGATTTATCAATCAGGGCGGCGCGCCGAGGTTCTTAAAGGCACCGAGGCACCGAGGCACCGGTGCCCAGTCGCGGGAGGCGTGTCCACGGGAAGTCTACTCCGCCCCAACCCCTCGCAAACCCCTCCCCCTCAAGGACTGTGCGAGCCCTCAGGGGATGCACCTCCAGGTCTGCCTGACCTGAGGATGGGACCACCTTCCAGGGATGCAGACCGCCTTCGCCAGCCCTCGCCCACCTGGCCCCAGGGAAGGGCCTCTAGGGAAGGGGCTGATCCCAGACACAAGCACCTCACTCAGTTGGGGATCCTGGACCACTGTCCCAAAGGCTGACCACAGAGACCAAAGACAAAACAGGGACAAAACAGAAGGGCGGTGAACCCCCACTTCACCTTTGGAAAATAGTTTACTGACCATTTTTTCAGCCTCCATACACACCCTGGAGGGCCTGAGATCAGCCTAGTTCGTTGTCAACTCCGTGTCCACTGACACCCAGGAAGGAAGGAAAAGAGGAGAGGCTGGGACAGGGTTTGGTGCGATCATATGAAGCCTCCAGCTCAGCGGCCAAGGTCAGAGGCACCCCAAGGAAAGACGACCTGGATCTAGAAGGAAAGCAGTGATCAGGCAGAGGAAAGGGATGGGATCCAGTTGGATCTGAGTTTGGGGCATCGAGTTAGATAGCAGGGGTCTCCTGGCTGGGTTTGGGGGAGGAGGTCAGGAGGGCTGGACTTTGGAGAGCAGAAGAATCTGTGGAACTGAGTCTTCATCTATAGACTAGGATCCGTATCTCCAAGGCCAGAATCGGTGGGCCTGGGTGGAAATGGGGGGGCCCAGAAAGGTGGAGCTGGGCTCCAAAGGTAGGTTCCCTTAGAGGAACAGCAATGGGATTGACCAGGACCAGAGCAGTGCCTGGAATTAGAGGCTCGTAGGCTGAAGTAGAGATGTGGCCAGGATCTGAGCAAGGGCTCTGATGGAGTGCGCCGCGCCCAATGGATTTCAGAGGAGGGGAACCAAAATGAGTGGGCAGGCCTAGTTTGCTTCTGGGGGCTTTGATTCTGCCAGAATAAAGTCACCCTTGAGTCTGAGGCAAGTAGGTGAGGGTGGGTGCAAGGGTGTGAATTTTGCAGGTACACACTGGTGAACTGCAGTTGTTAATGGGTTCTGGAGGTGAGTGAGGTCCTGTGTGGGTAGCTAGGTGGGCTCACCAAGCTAATGAGACTTAGATCTGTTTGTAGGGTGTCCAGGCTGGGCCCCAGCCCAAGCAGGTACAGCTTGAAGTGCACACACACAGTTGCTGCGTGTAGGGTGATAGGGAGGTGGGTCCGCGTCCACGGCTTCCCCCACCCAGCACTCTCGTGAGGTGCAGTCCACACCACCGCATGCATGCAGCACATGCTGCAGAGAGCGGGAACATAGCAGTGGGCATTACCCGTTTGGATACAACGCCCTCACAGGAGCCCAGAAACATGTGCAGCCAGTGCCCACCGGGATTTTTACCTGAGGGGATCGTCATAGGGGTACAGATCACAGCCCAGCTTAGGTCCTGTGACCCCAGACCCATAATCTTACACACCCACCTCCCAGGACCCAGAGGTCCTGAGCTCCAGAGCCTGGTGCCAAAGTGCCTATCTTCAGAGACCTGCAGCCCCAGCTCTGTTCCTTCCCTGTGGCCCTCCCACTGGTGGAGCGGGACGTGGGATGGGCAGCCTTCTTTGCAGACTAGGGCCTGTTTCAGCTGGAAATGCTTACCCTGGAAGCGGATGATCTCTCCATGGCTGCAGTACACACCCACATGGGCCCCACACCAGTATCCAGTGGGGGACATCAGCCTGAACAGGAAGAGGTCTCCAGGCTCAGGCTCTCTGCCCTACAATTCCACGGTCTTGAAGTGCTGACCCAGCAAGAATTTCACGATGCTGACTGCCCCAGCCAGGGCCTGTGAGGAGAAAGGGACCAGACATTCGCACAGGCCAAGATGGAGAAGCCACCTCCTTTCACTGGGCGTCGGGTCAGATGGTGTGCCCAGGGCGAGGGAGACCTGGCTTGGGGCTAGGCCCAAGGTGAATGTCTTCACTACCCCACTCCTGCCTGCCTGTCCTGAGGACCTTCCGAAGGTTGGACATCAGATAAATCCTGCCCTGAGCCTCCCCTGAGAACCCGTTTCCAGCAATTGGGACCTCCTCCTCATCCAAGTTTCCTTCTCATCTCCAATTCCAGCTACTCCATTATCCTTCCCTCCCCTCTTCTAGGATCCCCTTCCCCAACCATCTCCCATCTTGCTACTCCCTAGAGGCGATACCATAGATAGTATGTCACTGGTACCTGGGCTGAGCAGAAATCCTGAAGACACAGAAACTACAGTGAGACCTGGACCCAAGACAGGCGTTCCTCCCAAGCTTGAGTGGAGAAAGCCTCCTCAAACAATCTTAGCAGCAAATGTCTACTGAGCAGTTGTTCGTTGATCCTTAATATAATCCATTTAGTAGCTCTTTCAGAATAAGGAAACTGAGGTTCAGAGGTTGCCAGAGGGCACACAGCAATGACTGTGTCTTGTGCCCTTTACACTAAACATTCGTCACCTCTCTTACCTCCTCTTCCTCTACAAGGAAATGAGAATGCATTTAGTTCACATTTACTGGGAACAGAGGGCTTCTGGGACTTGGGAGGATGGCCTCACCCCCTGGGCTGTGCCAGAGCTTTGCTCTCAGCCTGGGAGAGGGTGAAAGAATGACCTGTTGGGCATGAGCTCTCCTGGGCTGGCAGAGGAGCTGAGAGAAGGAAGTGACCCGCACTCCTAGGTCTCTGGGTATCTTTGTTGGAAAGGAGTGGGCTGACTCCAGCCGATTTGACTTGATTGGGAAGGACCCATATAGAATGAGGAGCAAGGGCTGCCCAGGCCCACACTGTAGAGTGCCAACCACTGTTTCTGCCATCCCCGAGCCTTCTTTTCCTCTGGCCCGTCCGTAGTATCCTCTACTAATTTTCCCAGACTGAGAGCCCTGGAAGGTTCAGGTGATCAACTCTTCCCAGCTTGCCTGGGACTTTCCAGGTTTTAAAATAGAAAGTCCTACATCCTGGGGACCCAGGCAAAACTGGACTCAGGTTTCCCCACTTCCATCTTCTTTGACCTCAGGAGACCACAGGGAGGACCCAGTCTGTAGGCCATGCTCTTCTGCCGTCCACCCTAGTTCCTGTTCCCTGCCCTCCTGTACCCACTGAGCCAAGCAGCAGTCAGAGCTGTGGAAGAGGGTGAATTGTCCTGGCACCTGTGGGGGCAGCAGGCACCCTACCTGGGGAGAAGACAAGCTGAGGACATCTGTTCCAGTTACCTGGGATGTGAAGCTCATCTAGGGAGGGAAAAACCAGCTGTCACCACATGGCTGCTCAGGAGTGAGGGTCCAGGCTGCCACCCCTCCTGCCTCTCCCCTCAAGCTGTGCTCTCTGCATGTGGGGCTGCCTGTATGAGATGCATGGCTGTGCACATGGTATGCCCATGAGTCTGCGTTACAACACTGGACACAGGACTGGTAGACCTGGTCCTGGCTGTACCACTTTTCTAAACAGTACATCAAATAAGCCACTTGTTCTCTCTGGGCCTCAACTTCCTCATCTGTGAACTGGGGACAATAAACTAGAAAGGCTGGGCACCTCAGGATTTTTGTGAGGCACTGAGAACCCTTTGTGAGCTGGACAAGGGGAATTGGTCAAGGTTTGTGTACCTTTGGTTTGCTCCTGAGTGTGCAGCTAGGCGTCAGGGGAGGAAGGGTGGAGAGAAGGCATCTTCTCAGCTCAGAGGAGAACAATAGACCCTCAGAGGTTGGCTGCCTCCCTGTGACCCATGCCCCAGAGCTCTCAGGGACTCACCCAGCTGGAAAGGCCCCTCCCTGACTCTCCCTCTGAAAGTTCCCCAGTAGGGCGGGGTGATAAGGAACTCTGGCCACCATTAGCAGGGTCCCTGGACTGAGTCAGGGTCTGGATAAGATGCCCATTCAGATAGGAGATCAGGTCCACATGTGATGCTCTATCCATAATGATGACATTTGTTTCTAGATACTGTGCCACCCTATTTAACCCTAACAACGTCATGAAAGATACTGTTGTTGTTATTCCCATTTTACAGACGGGGAAAATGAGACTGGGAGAGACTGCCAAAGTTACACACTAGTAAATGAAGGAACCAGGATTCAAGTCCAGGCAGTCTGGCTCCAGTGCCCATGGCCTTAACCAATGTACAGTACTGCCTCTTCCTACAGCCAGCAAACGAGCTCTCCTCTTCCTGACTCCACCACCAGGAAACAGTGACCCCCAGTATCCTTCTTGACCTGGAGAAACCCTTTGCCCTGGCTTTCAGTGAGCCCAGGCAGGAAAAGGAGCAAGACCCCAGGGAACAGACATCCCAATCTCTAGGCACCCGGCCTGATGATGCTGCCCACCTTATCAGGGCTTCTTGCTGGAGGCCTGGGCTCTTTCTCCTCTCACCCTGTGCTCTCAGAACAGAGTAGTTAGGGTGGCCCTGAGATTGGGTGTGGGGGTGACAGGCAGTCTCTCTGGGGCCCAGGGCTCTGTCCAGGGGCCCCTGGAGGACCTCAATCCAGTAGTCCTGTTGCTAAGCACAGGCCTTGTGCGGCTATTGTGGCAGCCCTTGGCTTTGTGGCTGTGATCTGACCCGAATTTCCAGCTCCTCCTATCCCTTCAGTCTTGTCCTGGACAAAGGATTCCTCTGTGAGGCAAGGTTTTGGGGTCAGTGCTCCCTGCTGGCCACCTTCAGCTAGAACAAGGGCCGAGGCTCCCTGCTGGGGCAGAACAGGTTTGTTCTTCCCTTGAGCCCCTAGCACATCTTATTGTGACCCTTCCTTCCCTTACACAGCCTCTGGTCACC